CTTCAGCATCCTCTCAGCTCCAGACGTTGCGAGCCCTCGATAGCTGGCGTCGTACAGCAAGACATGAGCCTCGTCGACAACTATACGTGAAATGACATGGAAGTTGCCATCCACGGCCATTGTTGGTTTCGCAAACCGATCCATGAACGAAAGCAAAACATCGTCTCTACAGTGTTCAAGTTGCAGCAGAACAATGTCATGAGATATTAGAGTATCTGGGTTCATGTCCTCGCTTGGAGAATGCTTCACAAAGGTAAGCACATCTCTGAATTTCGTCGCAAGCAATTCTTCGTATTGCTGTAGCAAAGCAACAAAGGGAACAAGTATCACTGTTGTACGCTTCACCCCTGGATGATTCGGATTATGTCTGTGTTTAAAGTGCAACGCATCAGCAGCAGCTGGAAGCAACGATGTAATCGTCTTCCCGAAACCAGTCTTCAAATTCACCAGAATGGATTGATTTGTGAAGTACGATGTCTCAGTTATTGAACATTGCGTATCGTTCCGGTACTCAAATGATTTTCCATATAGCATTTTACCAACCGCAAGCAATTGGTATGAGTCTTTGGTGTTGATAGAGTCATCAACATGGTACTTGACGGCCAGTTGATCAACTAGGGCCTGTGGTGTTTCAAAGAGAAAACGCTCCCAAGAATTGGCTAAGGCCGTGATAACGTAGTTCACTTTACCCGTCTTTGCATATGTGGATAATCCAGTCTGTACAGAATGGTTTGCACTGAGCTCAATAGGATCCATGAACTGAATCAGAGAGTGAGTTTGACTGTCCTTGGTGATGATTAGACGGTTATAGTGGATAAGCACATGACGTAAAACCCTTCCTGTCGTACCACTCACATGGTGTTTTCCTTTGAATGGAATGTTTCTTGAGATAAAGTCTCTAATTGTAGCAGTCCGCTTGGTGCTGCTCAGGATGGTGTCTCCATATAGGAAGATGTATGTGTCAAGCATATCTCCGATCGTGGGGTTAGTCAGTGGAGAATACAAGTCTTTATCTTTATCTATATCATCAATGTAGTCATCAACTTCCTGTTCTCTCTGCTCCTCATCACGACGTTCCAATTTAGTCGTTATCTGAACCCCACCAACGTTAAGGAGAACTTTCTCTATCTGTCTGACGATGTAGATGTAGTAAATAATAAGCTTCAGAATTGGAGTGGGAATTAATCTCACCGTGGTATTGGGTTTTTTCTGGGATATACTCGTCTTTGTCACAGCGAGAGTGAGCATCCCATCCTTGAAGAGTGACCGACTGAGAATTTTCGTATTGCTCCATGTGGCTCTTGCGTATTCACTGCCTCTGGCTGGCCCAAAAACAGAGATCATGAGCAGAGGGAAGATATTGTCTATCGCAACTGATTGGAACTCCTTCACTGTCTTCCATGGATTCTTCTTAGCTTCTTCCATCAATGTCTTAGGGAAGGTGGTGAGCTGAAAATCACCAGCAAGTGAGGAAAACATCGAAAACCCAGATCCAGATTCCATAACATCTTCTTTTCCATTCCGCACGACATATTGCCATAC